TAAACGGTCATACTGGCCGTTCCTTATGGTGAAGCTGCTACTTAGAAGGTCTTCCTGAGCTAGCGTTACTAGGTTGTTCTTTTTTTATGATAAAAAAAAAAAAAGGTGCAGATAACCCAGTCTGGGCTTGCTATGCTTCCAACAGAGCTGCTCCGGCCTGGGTTCCTTTTCAGGAGCTGGGCAGACACGTTTCCACCGTGCATGTATGGTTAACATGCTGTAACTGTAGATCAGTTTCTCAGACACTCTTTTACACAGAGGCAATTGGGGTGTGGGCCACCTGGGGAGCCCCCGGCAAACACCCTGTCCCTTTAGCTCTCTAGGCCCTGCTTCTGCAGTGCCCGAGACAGCGACCTTGAGAAGGCAATTCACGTCCGCAAGACAAAGGCTTCTGCCTTTGACTTCTTGTCCATATGCTACTGGGGCAAACTGTATTCAAGGTTCAGTTGTCAATATATCCGTACAGACAAATCAACACCAATATAAAATTAAACGATTTAATGACCCATTGTTTCTGTTCAACAAAGAGCTCAAAAAAAAAACCCCGACACCTTTAAATTCTGAGACCAAACGCGATACTCAGTATCTCTTCACTGATTTAATTAGAGACATTTTATTCAACTTTTCATTAGCCAGGTTCTTGGAGAATATGACGAAGTGCAAATAGTTACAGGGAATAATCAAGAATACTAAGGACACGTTTAAAACATGAAAATAAGGTTCCGGGACGCTTTTTATGCTGCAAGTACATGTTGCTGTTAGGTGCTGTGGTTTACGTTGTGTGTTAACTTGGCTGGGCCGTGACTCTCAGTGTTTACATGTGATCACTCCCATGACTGAATATGCTGTGAGTAGCCAATCAGATGAAAGGGCGTTTGCTTGGGGGTGTGGCCTGCATCTGAATATAAGCAGATGTTCTGGCTTTTTGCTTGCTTGGGATCCTGCGGCTGCCTCCTGTCGTCTCACCTCCAGTTCTTGGGACTTGAGCTGTCAGCTTATCTGCCATACTTGGGATTCATCGATCTTCACAGCCTGTGAGCAGAGGCCTGCTCTCTGACCTGCCAATCTTGGGTTGACCAGCTCCTGCAGCTATGTGAATCAGGAGAAACCTTGCAGTCTTGCCTGTTGATCTTGGAATTCGTCAACCTTCATAGCCTGTGAGTGGGAGTCCTGCTTTCCGACCTGCCGATCTTTGGCTTGCCAGCTTCTGTGGCTGCGTGACTTGGGAGAGGCCTCTACCCTTCCATGGACTTGGGACGTTCTAGCCTCTACAATCGCTTGAGCTGCTTCCTTGATATAAATCTCTCTCTATATATATTTATATGCTTTACCGGTTTTGCTTCTCTAGAGATCCCAGCCTAAGACAGGTGCCGTCGAGTCGGTTCCGACTCATGGTGACCCCATGTACTACAGAACGAGACACTGCCCGGTCCTGCGCCATCCTCACAATCATTGTTATGCTTGAGCCCATTGTTGCGGCCACTGCATCAGGAATATGGTATAAGCTTATTAAATGATTAAATGTACTTAATAGTTGTTATCCCAGCAACCCCAGCAGCCACTAACCAGGCCACTTTTGGCCAAGAGCAACCCAGTCAGTCAGCACTCACCAAAGTGGCCAGTGGGTGAGACCAGGGTTTCTCAACCTCAACACTAGTTGACACTCTGGGCCTGATAACTGTTGTGGGGGACTGTCCTGTGCATTGTGGGATATTTAGCAGCATCCTCAGCTTCTACCCACTAGATGCCAGTAGCACTCCCATCCCCCCAAATTGTGACCATCAAAAAATGTCTCCAGACACTGCCAACATCCCGTGGAGTGGGGGACTGCCTCAGCTGAGAAGCACTGGGTTAGATGGAGACTCTACAATCACACACACTCGATCTGTGATGGGGAGAGCAGTCTCCTGGGGAAGAACTCATGTCAGCCTCACAGATGCAGGAGAAAGCCTAGAGGGCTGACCTACAGAAAGGGTATCAGAGAGTGTTCCAAGGAGTATTGCAGAGTATTACCCACCTCAACAACTGCATCCTTCTAGCCAAGCTGAAGGCTGGAGGAGAAATGCTGACTTACACAGGGGTCCCTTGGGAAAAGAGGGGGCCTGCTGACTTGACCTTTGTCCCACAAGAGGGTGGGTTGGGGGACAGTAACGGGCAGCTCCTCTCCTCTGCTCCAGGCTTTTGCGTACCCTAACAGCTCCATCTGGAATATCCACTTCTCTCCCTATCTTCATCTGGCTCCTCATTCTCTGCAGGTCTCAGATTAGACATCACTTCCTCTCGGAAAAATTCTGACTCCTTCCCTGCAATCCCCACCCCATCAGCGCTGGGTTCCCCTAGCCCAGAACTTCTCACACACACCATATACGTTACATGCACATCTACACGTACTCCGGTAGTCTGCGCTTCTGCTTGGTTTCCTCCATTAGAGCATGAACCCCGTGAGGACAGGGACCCCGTTTTTATAGAGTACCATGTTCTCCCCAGAGCCCAGCAGGGCACCCTACATAGTTGATGTATTTGCTGAATTGACGAATGAAACTGCTTTTCACCTGTCGGGGGAGGACCAATAAGTGAAGCTGATGAGGGTGAATCAAGCATGCAGCCACCAGAGCCAACAGTTTCATCAGCATGGACGCTGGTGTATTTCTGGACAGGCAGCCAAACCGGAGCGTGTGTGCGTGGCCAAAGCAGATCGTGAACCACTGTACAGAGATGTGCAAGTTTCCATCCTGGCCCACTTACTTTTGGATGTCAACAGTCTCTTATTATGATACATCTTTTGGACAAGTGTTTTGTTCCCAGAGCCAAATCACACACCTGGTCCCATGTATCAAAAGCTTACACCAAGAGCCTGATCAGACAGTGAACTGCTAAGGGGGGGTAGTTCTATTCTTCGACACCAATATTACAAGGAACAATCGTTTACATATTGACCAGGGCGAGGTGAGGAGCAAGGGAGAGGGAGGTTCAAATGTGGCTCAGAATCAACCAAGTCTGTGTTTCAAAGAACACACGTCAAACATGGCACGCAGGCAGCAGGCCACCTGCTGACATCTAGTCTGTTTGGGACCCCGTCCCTGCTGCCAGGTTTCAACATCAAGAACACAGAGACATCTCCATCTAACTTTTGTATGAGGAATTTAATTATCTACACACGTAACTAATTCCAAAGTTTGTATTACAGTTGTGAAAGCCGCAGGTTTAGATATTTATATATTTTACATTCATATCCAGGAAAATACTGAAGAGCAACGGAGCGCGGAGGCGCCGTCCTCACTCTGCACCGGTGAACGGAGAAGCGCCTCGCCAGCACTGCCGGCTCCACCTCGGAGAGAGGTGGGCAAACAGAAGGTGACTACAGGTTAAGAAGCCATGAGTCCAACAGCTAGTTGTGCTTGAGGCTCCCCCGTCCCCCCCGAGTCCCTGCTGTCAGCAACAGGCATTTTATTGAGAGCTGGAAAGCCTGAAACTAAGGTTTAAAAGACACACATGGCTTCGGCTATAGCACATCTTACACACAAACGGACCACGAGCTCCATTTAATATTAATCTGTAGAAATTCCACAGTCTAGTTAAAAAATGTAAACATTGGAAATTAATTGCAGGGAGATTTCTATACATTCTTTCTTGTCAAGGAAATTACTTGTTCAAAATATGTCATTCCATGAAAAGTAATTGGAATACAACATCATGTAACAGAGACAAAGGAGAGATTGCCAATACTGCTGATCGTAACACCCTCCATGGTGTCTACTGAGCCATGGTATGGAAACACACAAAATTAAAAACCCAAAACAGAAAACACCAACTCAACCACATAAATCTGAGACCGAACAAAAAAAAACGCAGGTGCTTTCCCATGTGGCTACAAGGTCACTGTGCAAAATAAAATGAATGAAGATGATGAGAGCATCCTACGAGGGGAACCGCTTTCGTCGTGGAGGGGACCAATTTCTTATGTACAGGATGTATTACACGCTCAACAAAATACATCCGATACACACAAACAAGCACAAAATACCTTCTGCTTAATTGGGCTCATTCTACACACCTTTAAAACAGACAGACTGAACTCTTCTGTACTTCTATGGCAGGGGGTTGGGGGGACTCAAGCCACACAATTCAGTAGGTAACACTGGACGAGATGAAAGCTTACACAAAGGCTCAGGTTTCTGGGCATTTGGAACATGTCTGGATAACACACGCAGCATTCCTTGACAGTGGGTCTGTTTGCAAAACCAAAACTGCAAAGAAGTGATTTTTCTCCTTTTCTTTTTTTTTTTTTAATTTTATTACAAGGCTAAAATATAGATTTAAAAAGAATCTCCAAACTACTGAAAGCACCTGTGCGAAGGTGGGGAGGATCGATCTGCGTCCCGAGGAAAGCCACAAAAGGACCCACTACCCTGCGTGTTTCTGCAAGTTTCACTTCTGTCTCTGCAAATAACTCAAACATCGCAATCCCGTGCGACTAAGGTAAATGAGGTAAAGTGCTGTGCAGCGGGCTCTTGTACTCAGAAGGCAGTGGATGATCATGCTGGAAGTCACATGATCAAGGCTGCATCTCCCATCATCCCTCTGGGCAGTGATATGGGATAGTGGGTCTCTTTGAGGACTTTCAAGCCTGAGTGGGGGATGGACAACATATGATTCCTAGAAAAAGGAGGAAAACAACACATAAGCAAAACAAAACAATGAGCAAAATTCAAGCTAGGAAAATGAGTCAGGCAGGTAAACAGCATGGTGCCAAAATGATCTTAAAAAAAGGAAAAAGGGGAAGAGGGAGCAAGGGGGCATGCTACAGAAGGAATGAAAAAAGGAAAAAAATTACCCCTCAAGACAAAGTCTCGCATTACAGAAGGTCTTCAAAGAGACTGTTGCGAACGCAGCAGTGTCTAGCTTTAAGTTCTGCAGGCAAAGCTCGCAGAGTCAGAGCAATGCTGCACGTTCAACTGAAAGACACCAGAATGGGCGGCGACGGGCCGCCGGGCACTTACATTGCTGGCTGGGGTCCATGTCTGTGGTCAGCTTCACATAATTGGATGGGAAGAGCCCCACTTGTCCGCTGACTTCTCCTTTCCACCAGTCGGGGTCCTCCTTGTTGAGGACGTTGATGATCTGGCCCTTGTTGAAGGCCAGCTCGTCGTCGTTCTGCGCCGCGTAGTCGTACATCCCGATCACCTGGCACACTGCAGGAGACAGGGGCGGGGTGAGCGGTGCCGTCTGCTGCAGCGCGCGCACGGGCAGCTTGGACCACTGGATGTCCTAGGTGTTGCTGTGCTCCTTCAGAACGGGCTAAATTAAGTGTGGGTGCTCTAAGGTGACTTTCGTGGTGTGGGCAGGAGAGGAAGACAAAGGATTAAAAACCGAGACACCAGCAATATGTCCACAGTGTCTTTAATTTTTACAATACCTTCTTCCTTCTCATGCTCACTTGTCAGCAGCGAATTTACAGTGGTGATGTGAATGCTCAGGGACCCGTTTCTATTTGAGTGCAGTGGGAGTCCTTCATAAGGCTGACTCTGGAGCACTGGCCCCACAGTCGTCCTCATTTCCTGCTGCATGGGACAGCTGTGTACCACGGGGACTTGACTACAATTTTTCTTTTCTTTTCTAATTTTTAAGGTGGAAGGGAATACTCATTTGATCTCCAAAAAATCTAAATTGTGAAAAGTAGAATCACGGTTTTAAAAGAATTCCAGTGTACCTTTGTGTCTCAAAATAAGAGATGTCCATGCTCAAGAACAATCTCTTCTCATTCTATCTCACACCTATTGTGGTTAGTCATGTCTACTCGGCCCCAACCCCGTGCTCAACAGAATAAACGCTGCCTGGTCCTTCACCATCTCCACGATTGGTCAGGGATCAGACCCCTGTGATCCACAGAGTGTTTATTAGCTGATTTTCGGAAGTAGATCGCCAGGCCTTTCCTGGCTTAGTCTTATTCCACTTAGTCTGGAAGTTCCGCTGAAACTTGCTTGGCATCCTAGCAACACACAAGCCTCCACTGACTGACAGGTGGTGGCTGTGCATGGGAGCACCGGCTGGGAATCGAACTTGGGTCTTCCACATGGAAGGCAAGAATTTTACCACCGAACCACCACTACCCCCCAAGGAGGTTAGAATGTTCTCAGATAAGTACAGATAAGTCTGTACGTTAAATTGTAATCCCCAATTAATTTTTCTTAACCAAGCTATACTTTGGTTTAAAAACCAAAAAAAAGAAAAACAAAAAAAAACAAAAAAAACTTGTTGCCATCCAGCTGATTCCGACTCATAGCAATGCTACAGGGCAGAGCAAAGCTGCCCCACAGGCTTTCCAAAGAGCGGCTGGTGGATTCTCTTAACCACTGTGCCACCAGGACCCCTATACTTAGGTTTGGGTTTACAGAATTCTCCAACTAATTCAATCACTCCAGCAAATTACTTGTGTGTGTGTGAGGGGGGTGGACACAGAGGCTCAGCTGGGGTGGGGGAATCACTCACAAAGTTGGCCAATCTCTTCATTTCTCACAACGACTGCCAAGTTTCCATCTCACTTCACTGGGGCTGACAGCACAGACATTTAACCATGGGGGGGGACTAGAACATTTTTCACAAATGCCACCCAAGAACTGGTGACCGAGAGACCTAAAGCCGAACTCTGCTCCTCTGACCTCACCTCTCCCCATTACTACAGAGGCGTCTCATTCAGTCTCTTCAATCAGAACACAGCCAGTCAGCTTAACTGCGGTGCTCTCCGTTCTCTTGCATCCTTCCAGGGATGTGCGTACAATATCCTGCCTGTGATGAAGCCCCTCCGTCACAGTGAGCATCACGGGGAGTTATTGTCGCCTTCAGTGAATACCACATCTCTACCAGCAGACCCCCGTGGCCTCCAGCCCAATCTCCTGACCTATTTAGACCCTCGGCATTTATTTTTAGGACTGTCCTTCTCTCCCCTCACACCCTAGCCCAAGCCCCAATTTAAATAGCTGGAAGGAAATCAAGAGAAAAGTCTGCTTTAATGTCATAGTACTCATGACTCCCTCAGGACAAGGGTCCCAACAAGGGCTCCGTTGTACCCGGCACAGTGAAGCTACTTAGATACTAGGTCCTTTTGAAAAACATATTCCATATCGCAGTGATCGGGTGTCAGTCCTGGCAATGACAAGCAGCACTTAGAGAAGATGTGAACACAAGCGAAGACACTTCCTGAGAAAAGCGAGTGGAAAGAAAAAAGTGACATGCACACCCGCCTCCAGCTAGAGACCGTAAGCACCTTACCTGCAGGTACTGCCGTGGACTTTGGTGGGTCTGTTGGAGTAATTTTGCTCGTCCCAGGGCTTAAAAGTTTTACATAATTAGCTGGAAACCAGCCTATCTGGCGCTTTTTCCCACGTGCCTAATAAGAAAACAATTATATCAGAACTTTAAAAAAGGTTCACATTCTTTCACGATACAGTTTCCTCTGTAACACAGCACTTACACAATGCTTACACATAACTGGACTCCAAACGGCACGGACGTTAGCATCCATGGATTACTCAGTTTGGAAAATAAAGTATTGTAGCTGACATTCACAGTGTGGCAGTGACTGATCGGCGATCCTGGAGGGGTTTTGCATCAGCTAGGTCACGTGGATCACAAGTTCAGGACGCGTGCAGCGTATCCAGGGCGGCAACCCTCTGCATATGTCCTGAATTTGCATGATATCTAGGATGGAATTCTGCTACCAGCTACGTGACATTAGCTCTCAGCTGTTAATTCAGGGAGTGCAGAGATTATGGTGAATGCCAACGTTATTTATGGATTTTAAGACTAATAATAATAATTCCAGAAGGACGATACCATTGTTATTCCCATTTTCCAGATGAAGAAGGTGACGCCAGAAAGTTAAGTGACAGCCCCACGATCACAGTTAGTGGAAAGTCAAGACTCCTGCCTTGTCTGCACTCCCCTTTATGGGCCATACGTAAGGTCAGGCGCAGATAAGGTCCGTGCGTCTGC